CGTTATATTTGTATCGTTACCTCCTATTAATGGTATTATCATGTGACAAAAAAAAAAAATTCTTTTGTTTCTTTATATCAAATTAATTTTTAGCGTATTTCCAATTGTACCCTCCATAAAACGGATTAGGTTAACGTGGGTATGATATCTAAGGGTGCGTTTGGTTTATTATTTTGGATAAGATTTTAGGGATAGTATTGGATAATTAAATAGGGTTATGATTACGAGAATATGATTTACAGAATATGTGTTTGGTAGAGTATTTTGACCTTGATATTTGTGTTGAATATTTGATTAATATAATTTTTTATAAATTATTTATTAATATAATATTTTGTTTAGTTTTGTTAAAATAATGTATTATTATATATAACTTATCTGGGTGGTTCACCGTGGATATTAGTGTGGGACAGATCTTGGTGGTGGGTGGTTCACGGTGGCTTTTAGTGTGGGACAGATCTGGTGGTGGGTGGTTCACGGTGAATATTAGTGTCGAATAGATCTGCTGCTGTGGGTGGTTCACGGTGAATATTGTTTGGGTGGTGCAGGTGGAGAAGAAGTTGGATGTGCTTTGTTTGGTATTTGCGGGTGGAGCAGAAGTTGGATGTGTTATGTTTGGTATTTGCAGGAGGAGAAGAAGTTGGGTGGAAGAAGAAGAAGTTTGTAAACGTGGTGAAGCACTGATGCAGTGAAGAAGATGGGAAAACGAAAAAAAATGAGAAAGAGAAAAAAAAGCTGCAAAAAGTCAAACGGTCAAATACATGATGCAGTGAAGAAGATGAGAAAGGTATTTGCAGGTGGAGAAGAAGTTGGGTGGAAGAAGAAGTGGTTTGTAAACGGGGTGAAGCATTGATGCAGTGAAAAAGATGAGAAAATGAAAAAAAAAATGAGAAAGAGAAAAAAAAAAGCTGCAAAAAGTCAAACGGTCAAATACGTGATGCAGTGAAGAAGATGAGAAAGGTATTTGCAGGTGGAGAAGAAGTTGGGTGGAAGAAGAAGTGGTTTGTAAACGGGGTGAAGCATTGATGCAGTGAAAAAGATGAGAAAATGACAAAAAAAATGAGAAAGAGAAAAAAAAAGCTGCAAAAAGTCAAACGATCAAATACGTGATGCAGTGAAGAAGATGAGAAAATGAAAAAAAAAAAAAAAAANCTCACATCAATTAAATCCCACAGTTGAAATAATAAATAAATAAAAATTAGCATAATTTTCAAAAGAGTTAATGACTTTTTCCCACCCAAATAATGGCCTAATAACTTGCCACCCAAGCTTTGAAACAATACAACTTTACTACCTAAAGCACAATTCTGTTAGTAAATTTCATTGTAAAGAATGACAGGATTGTCAAAAGTTCATTATAAGTAAAGGTAGGATGGTTAATTAATATTTTACATCAAAAATCAAATTTTAAAATTCCACTTTGTTGAGAAAACAGCGAACGCCAAAGGAGGGCGACGTTGCACGACCGATGAACGGTGAGTAATCTAGTGTCGGGGTTTGAGAGGTTTTGAAGAAGGGGGGTCATAGGTTGAAAGGGTAGTGGAAGATTGGATTTTGGCTTCCGAAATCAAGCAGAATTGGCGCAAAAATAGTGAAACCCTAACTTGCGGCAGCCTATGTATGTTGGGGTAAAAGATGTGAGGATCAACGGGGTTTTGGTCAGGGGAGGATAGAGAATCTGGTGGTGATGATGGGGAAGGCCAACAACACCAAATTCCAGCCAAATCAACTAGAGAAAATGACTGTCGCAACTTTCTCGCCAAATTTCAATTGCTCCTTATACTGGAAATCATCCACTTCACCACCTATTGCTTCATTGGCATCCCCTAACCAAACCCCCAACAACCCTGGCACCAATTGCTTGTCGTTCACCGTCTACCACCATCTCCTAGGGTTTTTGCGCTTTTGGAGTTGGTTTTGGAGTTTTAAAATGGAATTGGTGACTAAAGGTTGATTGGGATTGTTTTAAAAGTGTTTGGTGTTGTTTTTTCTGGGTTTTTGGATCAATTCCAGCATTGAAGGCCGGATTTTGAAGTTAGCACTCCAACTATTCGACAAAAGGCTTGAGCCCATTGCTATCAACCTCAAATACCCAACCGACACCTTCTGTCGTCAACCTCACCTGCCCAGTCAGTGAGAAAGATATTTTTTTATTCACAATAAATATTACTGTATTTAATGGAAATTATTAACAAAATATAACGTTTGGATAATAAAGTTGTATTGTTTCAAAGCTTGGGTGACAAAGTTCGTTAAACCATTATTTGTGTGGGAAAAAATCGTTTTCTCTTTTTAAAATAAACATTTAACGCATTATTTACTCATTGGTTTACTTGGATTAATAAAATAAATAAAGGGAATAATATTTAGAAGGAGAAGGATGTGTAATAATTTATTATTGTTAAGATAAATATGGTTAACTTTTGAGATATTTAAATGAAGAGTGAAGAATTGACGATGTGGGGGTATAACAAAGTAAGAGTAAACGACATGTCCCCACCCAAGGTTTAGCGAAATGCCAGTTTCCACCTGGTTTCATAAATTCCAAATTCCCACCCTTATATTAATATTGTTAGTGACTGTTACAAATGTAGAGGTTCTATTACCAAATTGTCCTCCCACTTATATTAAGATTTCAAACTTCATAGTTCATCCCCTTCTAGTACGCACTGCTCTTTTCTGTATTCTCCTCGCCGCCCTTTTTTCTTTCTCTTCCCGTCCCCAAGAAAATTCTCTTTGTCAAAGAAAACAAAAAATGATTGAGACCGGACCTTCTTCATCTCCCCTAAACTTCATCTTGATCTTGATTTTAGGAAAGAAAGAACCCCAGCTTACGCTAAACCGAGATAGCAAGCTACCTTGGTCTTCTTTAAGTTCCAAAGATTCAGATCAACGGCTTTAGCAGTTCTATGAGGCTAATTCAATTCAGTCTTTTGAATCTATGAATTAAGATCTTCCCAACCTCTGCTTCTTATAGCTTGTGTGCTGCAAGTAGTTTTCTGTTTTTGCTAAAAATTCCTACCCCGCCACCCATTTACTCGTGCACAAACTAAGAGAAAATCCCTACTCCACCATCACCAAAAATAACCAACAGCAACATACAAATCATGATACCCAAATAAATCAAGATCATCACATTTGCCAATTATCCTCGCCATTAACCACCAGAGAAACCCAACCACCGCCTTTCTCCATTTGAAACTCAATTTTGTCACCATTCCAATAACTAAATAAAATAGTATAAACAAGCGCATTTGATAGAGAAGAGATAGGCATCAAGATTTGAAGCAAAAACATAAACATATATAAAAGAAACTGTAGATATACAGAATAAACAAAGAGTGACAAAGAAGAAAGAGTGTAGAGAGAGGGAGAAACAATAGGAACAAAGAGGGAGAGAGAGTACCGTGAAGGAAAAGAGAGTGCAAAGAATCAGAATATGGAATTTAGTAAATAAAAATATTAAAATATAGTAAATAACTATTTTAACCTTTAACTATCGAAAGAAACGGAACTCTACTAAATTAAGGGTGAAAATTTAGAATATATGAAACCTAGAGTGGGAGTACTGTGGGACCTAACATTTCGCTAGGACTTAACATTTCGCTAAGCCTTGGGAGCATGTCGTTTACTCAATAAAGTAATAACAAATACGAAAGCATGCTCCACACCTAAAGAAGGATGTACTTTTGAAAGTGATGCCATGCCTTTAATTTTTTATCAACAAACCTTTGTCCTATTATTCTTATGGTCAACACTTTTGTCCACTTGTGCTGCGTAATTGGGGCAACACTGTTGATGCGTGATTTTGACACCAACGAAACGCACGTGTGAAATGCTGAGATGGCTCAGAAGGCACTCGTGAATGTAAGAGAAAATGAGAGTAAATGCAATGGGAACAACTTTTAAAGTGGTTCGGATGCTAAGGAAGTAAGTCATACGTCCACTGATGTTTGTATTAATGATAGAGGTCAGGTCGTGTTAGCGGACTGATTTACAAATGATAGTACAAGAGAGAGAATGCTTATATATATTCTTGAGAGAGAATAGCTGATCAAAAGTAGAATAAATCGAATCCCCCAAATAAGAGAGGAGCCCTCAATTTATAGTGGGATGGATTAAGGTTATCATTACTGAATCTGTGAGTTGGTGGGATTATCCATACAAATCTTCCTTTATGTCTCATTGCCCACCTTGCAGAGTGATTTATGCGATTTGGAGCAGATATTGGACACGTGGAATCACCACAACTTCTAGCTGGTCTGGCATGCACCCACTATTCTAACAAAAGCAGGCTGCTCCTTTCCTCATGTGACTGAGGTGTGGGTGTATCCATGCTCTGACTTTTGCACGCTGACTAGAACTTACGTCAGCCCTGCATTCTTTAGGCATAACAGAAGTCTCCTAGTTTTTAAATTTTGAGGATTGAACCTTGGAAACTATAATTCATGCCGCGACTGGATGCTTTCGGGAAATTTTGGTGATTCCGACCTGTTTGAGAAGAGGTCGAGGTAGCGCTTTTTAAGAACACGACTTCGCATGGTCATCGCTTGTTAGAGATGAGCGACCTGACTTCGTCAGGCGTTACATGTTGTACTTTTGATATGGATGCATTTAATGAAACAACCTCTGCTCTGTCAGATGTGTCCTGTGCGTAATAAGTGTCAGCCAGGCGCATTAAATGCATGGCATGCTGACACGATACCTTTTATCAGAATATTAAATGCATGACATGCTAAAACGACACCCCTTATCAGAGCATTAAATGCAGATTAGGGCGCAATTAATGCTGAGGGAGAGAGTGTCATCGCTTGAGTTTTTTCAACGGAAAAGGAGGACGGTTTGGTTTTCTGTAATCGTGACGCTCACTCTTTCTCACTGATCTGCAACACGTTGTCATGATCAACGGTGAGACATTTTTTTCGCTCAAACGTTGTCTTGATTTCGGGAAAGTCAAGCGTCATGTCCTTTGCTATAAAAACTCAGATCTATCCCAGGCAATGTCACCACACTCGTCTTTTTCAGAGAGAGCAAGAGACTTTCGCAAGCTTGGAATTTTCGCCTTCCAAACCAGCGTGTTTATGATATTTGAAGCAGAAGGAGCCATTTTTGTATTTCAAGAGGTAAGAATAGTTCTCTGCTTTTATTTTTCTTATTCCCCTTGGTTGGTAAATGGTGTTATTCTTCCGGTAGCTGATCGGAGATGAGACAGTCATATTGGGTTCGAGCCATGAATGGCGGTTGGAATCATTCTGCTAGGGTTTTCTTTAGGTTTTAGGGAGCTTGTTTCCTTCCACGTCATCATACGGAATAGCGTACGATGGCTAAATGACCCCCTCTGCTTGTCGCTTTTGCAGACCAGTAGAATGTACCCCTCAACGATCATATCCAAGGAAGGAATCGATTCGTCCTCGCAGGGTACTCCGAATGTCACTCCTGAGTCTACTTGGTACTCACCGAGGAAGAGCTCGAGAGGGTGACAAAGCAGTATGGTGTCGACATGGAAGTTTTCTATGATAGGACCCACTCATCCCGATACCCATCAAGCAGGATGACTACGATCTCCGAGGAGATCTTCAAGGGTGAGGGGTTGATCCCCTTCCACCCTTTTGTCAGGTCGTTACTGGATCACTTTGGGATTGCGCCAATGCAACTCACGCTGAACGTGTATGTGATTGTTGTCGCCATGTACATCGCGTGCCATGAGAACGGGCTGGGCGAGCTAACTGCGATAGAGTTCGGCTGCTCGTATTACTTGAAAAAGAGCAAGGACAAGGATTCTTATTATTGTCCAGACGACCTACTATAGAAGCGAGGATACACAATTACCCTAGCAACGCAGGGGCCTACTAAACGAAGTTTTTCTTCTTTCGTTACAATGGCCATTGCCGCTTTCAGGACCCGAGTAGGTTTTTTTCCCTTGGCGAATTTATTAAATTTGAAGTGCATCCTTTTCTTAATGACATGTTTCTTTTTGGCAGTTAACAAGTCGACCGACTCAGGGCTACTCTTTGATCCGGACAGGATTGTAGCTTTCGGCTTCCTGCCCGAAGCTAATAGTGACGCAAAGAAGCTCGTGTCGACAGCGAATCTACGAAAATACGGTTTCTTCAGTGCAAGAGCGTCCTTAGAGCCCCCATTGTGTAAGTCTTGCTAATTGGGTCTTTTCTGGTCGTGCAATGAATTATTCTTGCTAACGATGCTCGCATGCAGCGACCATGCCTCCGAAGCAGTCAAAGCCGTCGCGATGAAGGCAATTCAATTTTCTGTGGGGAAGGACCACCAAGGCGGCCGATGCTGCTCCTACTGTTCCCCTGGCTGAAGGCGCCACATCGAGCCCCCCGGTGCGACCTGTTGGAACTTCTCAGGATCAACCTTCGAATGATGATAATCCGTAAATTATACAGTTTTTATTAGATCTTTTTGTCATATTTCAGGTACTTTCTAGTGCATTTTGACCTGAATTGTTGCTTAATTCTTTACTTTTCGTGTTTCAGGTTAAAATGGACATTTTGAGCAAATAAGGACAAAATTGGATAGTTTTGACTCAGAAATTAGTGGATCTCAGATGATTGGAGAGTTCTTGAGTAGGATAAAGCATGATGAAGCTTGTTCCCAAGGAAGAGCACCGAGAATCGAAGAATCGAACGAAGAAGCAAGCAGAGTGGCAGTTTTGTAATTTCAGAACTTTTCAAGAAGCTTCGCCCCGGCGAAGGAATTGTCTTCGCCGCAGCGAAGTAAGCCAGGGACGAATGTGTCTGCTTCATTCTTCGCCGCGGTGACAGTCAATTTTTCCAGTTTTGTTAAACGCACAGTTTCGTTTTGTGCGTGTTTTGGCTGGGTTATTTGGACTAAGTATAAAAGAAAAACTTAACCTTTTACCAAGGGGTCTTCATCTTTTTAGGGTTAGCCACTTTTGCATTTTTCTTAGTAAAACTTTGAGCTTTTTGGTTTGTTAAAGGGAGAAGATTCGGATTTTGACTAAAGGATTCATCTTTTGGGGAGATTTCTTATCTTTCATCTCAGTTTCATTATGTCGAACTTGTTTATTTCCGTTTTTCATTTTTATATTATTGATTTAGCTATGAACTAATCTTTTATGGGTTAGGGTTTTGATTGTAGTTTGGATTTTAATGGGTTAAGTGTTTGATTGTTTTATTTTCATATGAATCTGCATGGGTTGTGTGTTTACTCTGAATTTTTAATGCTTTATATGATGAACATGATGAGATTGAGAAATAATTCATATTAGGCTTCTTGGGTAAACACCATTATAGTATTGGATGCTAGAGATAGATTCAAGAATTAATGAAATCATTTTAGGATTCTTTTACTTAATGAGTTTGGATTTGTTAATCTTCAATTTGTTGGGTGCGGAAGGTTAATAAGGATGAATAGGAAAACATAGCCCGAGAGGGTATGTTTAACATATTAGTGATTTCGATTTACAACCATTGCGCATGAATGTTAATGTAGTGTAATTTTTAGGTTTAACCCATAAAAATCCAAATGAAGTCAAAACCCTACCCGTTTTGCTTGAATTGATATTCCGTGTTTTCATATTGCTTTCTTAATTAAGTTTTAAATCTTTGTTTAAAATTCATTGTTGTTTTTAATTAAAATTAGCTCCCACCAATCCAAAGAATTCGATTGCTTCAACTTGGTAACATTAGGAAACTTAGTGCTTTGCTAACAATCCTCGTGGGAACGATATCCTACTCATTATTTTATTACTTGAGCGACTAGTATGCTTGCTACATTTTTGCATGTTGTAAGAAACACGCATCAAAGGACGTACCAATCCGACCTGCGAAGGCTTCCTAGCCATTGGCTGTTAGCCCTAGGCTAAAAACAACAGCTCAACGAGCTAAGAAGAAGAGAAGGCAAATTCAGGTCGAAGAGTCAGAGACCGAATCCGAGGGCGATCAACCCGAGAGGTCACAGCCAAACGTCAAAGGTGATCAATCCAACACGACCCCTGTTGAATGCTGGAAGAAGGAAACTCCAGTGCTGGACTCGCTGGGGAACCTGTCGGAGTACCTACAGCCGATAGTCTACACTTTGCTGGAGTGCAGACTCTTGGAAGCATTCGAGCAGTTCGTAGGTTCCAGCGACGTGGACCTAATGTCCACATCACTCTAGCACTTGACCAAGGTAAACGAACTATCCTCGGCGAGGACTTCCCTTAGTTCCTTTTGATAAACTAACTTGCTATTTTTTCTTGTTCGCATGCTCTGCTTTCCATGCAACTATCCCTGGAGAAGGTTCGGTTGGGAGCTGCAAAGGGGGAGGTCGCACTGAAGAAAGAGAACGCACAGCTCAAGCGAGGCCTGGAAGCCGTCAAAGCAGAAAGAAACCTATCCTTTGAGTTGGCGAACCGGTACCTGAGCGAAAAGGATGCGACTCTTCGTATGGTGGACTTCCAAAAAGCTGAGCTTGAGAAGCATGGCGAGGAAGCAAAGAAACTGCAAAGGACCATAGTCAGACTCTCTAAGGAGGTCGGAAAGAGGGACCAGGAGCTCAAAACGACCTCTTTCCGAGCCTTTCGAGCATAACAAGAGAGGGATGCCTCCGAGCAGCAAAGGCAAGCTCTCAAGGCCGAACTCCAAGCAAGTCAGGGAAAAGTTGCTTCCCTGACTGAAGAGATACAGAATCAGGCAGCGAAGATCGAGGAGAAGGCTGTCGAATGGGCGATCGAGTCTATCTATGCCTTACGACTGAAGAATTTGCGCATTGATATGTCCGACCTCCCAGAGGACTGGTGGGAAACTCGCATGTCCATGGCGTGGCAAGATGATGAAGCGGCGACCGCCTGAAAATCCAATTAGATAGAGGGTTTGAGACACACCTCGGAGAAGCCCCCAACTGACCAGCCTTAGGATGATGAGGTCGGTCTTCCAGGAGTTAGATTAGGGCTAACAGTTGTACCGTCTTGCCTGTTGTACTCTTTACATTAATGAAATATATTTTGCTTTTACAATTTCTGTTCACTTTATTATACATGAGTTTACATTCTAAGTGCTTATGATATTGGAACAAGTCGTTGCGAACATGATAACACATTTATACGAACAAAGTTACATGCGAAGACTATTACAAGCAAACAAAATAATACTGATTTACATTTACAAAGATAAAAGAATAATCTTTACAAGGAAAACTGAGTTCGGAATTACTGATAATAAGGTCGAAGGTGTTCAGCATTCCAAGCTCGCGGTACTATGGAACAATTTAGCCTTTTTAGGTGATAAGTCCTCAGCCTTATCACTTTGTTGATGCGGTATGGGCCTTCCCAATTTGGTCCCAACACTCTCGCACTTGGTTCTCTAGTACCGAGGAGAACTTCCTTCAATACAAGGTCGCTGACCTAGAAGTCTTTTTGTCTGACGTTAGAATTGAAGAACCTTTTGGCGCGTTGCTGATAGGCTGCTATTCTTAGTGAAGCCTTGCTGCGATGTTCTTCAACAAGGTCTAGACTTGCTTGCATAAGTGCTTCGTTGTCGGCTTCATTGTACAAGTCCCTCCATAGCGAACTAGTTCTTACCTCCATATGGATCATCGCTTCGCAATCGTATGCTAGCGAAAAAGGGGTTTCGGAGGTAGAGGTTCTCGCAGTTGTCCTGTATGCCCATAGGACTTTGGGTAGGTCGTCGGCCCAATTCCCTTTGGCTACGCCAAGTTTGGCCTTTAGAGTATGCTTGATGGTTTTGTTAACAGCTTCAACTTAGCCATTTGCTTATGGTATTGTGACTGAGGTGAATTTTTTATGAATACCCAGCTTGTCACAAAACTGCTTGAACTCCTCGTTGTCGAACTGTTTTCCATTATCTAAGATAAGGGTATGAGGAATCCTGTAGCAGCACACAATATTCTTGAAAACGAAATTCTTGAGCTTTTTGGTCGTGATCGCGGCTAGCGGGTCGGCTTCTGCCCATTTGGTGAAGTAATCTACTATGACCACAGCATATTTGACTCCCCCTTTACCGACTGGCATGGGGCCAATGTGGTCGATTCCCCACATGGAAAATGGCCAGGGGTTGGTCATTGTTACCAGTTGGTGGGAAAGAGCTCGCGGTATGTTTACGAACCGCTGACACTTGTCACACCTCTTGACAAAGTTGTAGGTGTCTTCTTGGATTCGGGGCCAGTAGTACCCCTGACGAACAACTTTGTTGGCAAGAGATCGTGCGGCGGTGTGATTACCGCAAATCCCTTCATGTATTTCCCTCATGATGTAATCTGCCTCTTCGCTAGTCACACATTAGAGGAGAGGGGCGCTAAACCCTCGTCTGTACAGTTGGTCTCCGATGAGGGTGTAACGAGCAGATCTTGTTCGCAAAATCCTTGCCTCGACCTTCTCGTTAGATAAGGTCCCGTCCTTGAGATACTGAATGATGGGAGTCATCTAGGAATCTGATTATATTATATTCATGGCTTATTCGATCGAAC